GGAAGGTTTGAGTATTTCTACACAAATAGGTTAGAACTTTGCATTTTTTAAGTTGCTGATATTGCTGAGTAAAGCAAATCATTACAGCACAAGCATTTTCCTAGGCATCTTATGAAATCCCTGTATCTAAAGAACCTTTCCCCTCTGAAAAATAAAGCATTGTCTATAGTTTTTGGAAGGAATTGACTTCCAGCTGAAAAGCTGATGGATTCATAGGCTCAGACAGTAATTTGGAATGGAGGTGACTTCTAGAGATTTGTGCCTGAACCTGCTGCTCCAAGAATCCTGAGATCAAGTTTCTCAGAGCTTTTTCCATTTTCATCCTCAGTCTCTCTCAAGGATAAGGCTGCGTGCTCTCTCTGGGCAATCTGTTCAGTGCTTGAGAAGTTTTTTTTTCCTTATATCCAGTCTGCTGTTTCAATGAATTACTGTTTTCTGTCACTATCCCACCGTGACCGGCTGTACAGATTCTCAATCTGTCTTCATGCCTCCCTTGTGGGCGTTTAGAAGTTGCCATGAGGTTCCTCTGCACTCTGAACAAACATCTTTCTCCCCATTTTCTCTTCACTGAGTGGGAGCTCCAGCTCCCCACACAGACTGGAGGCCATCCACAAAATTTGCTTCATGTTGTTATCTTTCCTGGCCAAAAACTAAATACAGTATTGTAGATGTGGTCCAATGAGTGTGAAGCAGGAGTGACTTGTCCTGGTCTGGATGTGCTGCTTTTTAATGCAGCCAATTATATTGTTGCACTTTTTTTTTCTGTCAGGACACATTGCTGGCTTGTGTTCAGCTTGTGGTCTATCACCACTTGTCCTCCTAGTCCCCAGGCCCTTTCTAACAGATACATATTAGTATTTCCCACCTGGGATTTGGGAAAATGGGTACTTGTTCGCAGTCAGCAAAGATCTCTAAGAGAGAGAGAGGGCTTTTAGTAGCCTGCTAACCACTGACCACAACAAGAAATAACAGAAGAGAAAATATGTTTCCTTGGGCATTCAGGTGAAAATCATTCCTGACTGCTTTTTCATTCACCAGGAAAATCTGTTGATTGATGAGAAGCATAATTTGAAGCTGATAGACTTTGGACTCTGTGCAAACCCAAAAGTAAGAGTATCTTAAATCAAATATAATGTGCCCCAAGTAATGCATGTTTTACTACAGTGTGCAACAGGGACTTGCCCAAACACACTAAATTCAAGCTGTTTCTATGGTTGACATGCAATCACATCTTGCTTGGAAGGGCCTTAGCTGTGTGAGAGTGGTTAACAGATAGCTCAGAAGCACAGTTATATTCTTTTCTCTACCTAGACTTCCTATTTTCACAGTCTAAGCTGTAAATAATCTTGTAGGTGTATCTCCTGTCTTATGCAACAGTCTGTAATAGGAGCATTGGGTTGGCATGCCATTATCTCTTTTAAGGAACTGTATGTAGGTTGAGATTATGGATAGAACCAAATGAGTTTTGCGGGTGACATACAGATGTGTTTGTATATGCTTGAACTGAATTGTTTCTTTATCTTAAAACTGATTTCTAGGAGCCTTTACTTAACATGCAAGATGGGTGCTGGTAAGAAAGAATTTAATGGGAAGACTGCCTTACTGATTCAAAGAGAATTACTTATTCTCAAATCACTTTTCCTGGCCAAAGTTAGAGCTTCTTGCAGGTAATCAAGACCAACAGGCTCTTGTCTCAATGGTATAATGTCATCTTGCTCTGACCTGTTTAGAACAAAACCCAAGTAAAGTAATAAAATACTCTGAATAAAGAAGTATTATATCGATTGTTCTTTGTAAAGTTTGTAAAGTTATTGCATTAAATTGTTCTAAATGACCAGTGAGCCTCAAACACAATAGCTCGTGCATAACTTCTTTCTCAGTTTTGTGTTTGCACAGGCAGTTCATCTTAGTAGATGATCAGCTAAGGAACATAATGCATCATGCCAAGGATACATAAGATAAGTGAGCAGCTTGTGATCTGTACATTTATACAATACTCATGGTCTTAGACAATATTTGTTTAGTGAGGTCACCTATTGAATGAAAGCAAAATATACAATGAATGAAAATATGCACAGGAGAAGAAGCCTCTGAGGCTTCTGAAGTGTCATTACCAAAAAGCATAAACTCTGTTAAAGCAAATTTTTCTATTTTTTGTGTTATTTTAGGGGGGCCTTGATTACCATCTGAACACATGCTGAGGAAGCCCAGCCATATACAGCACCAGAGCTAATCCAGGGCAAAGCATATATTGGCTCAGAGGTATATAGACCAGTTTTTGTTTGTTTGTTTGTTTTACACCTCTCCCCTCTCTCCCTTCCCACAGGGCATTTAAAAGCAGTGGAGCTCAGATACACTCACTTGGTTTCCCTCCTGAATTCTGCTGGGTTGCATTGCTTAGTAGCTCTCAGAAGCTGTCAATGGCCACAGACTGAAAAGTGCAATTGGCCTCAGTCCACACAGCTAGCTGGTTTGTCTCTGGCTAATCCTTATCTGTCTCCACCAATTGTTCCCTGCTTTAGGGTTCTACAAAACAGCAACTTCAGAGATCTCCTTCTGTTACTAAGTTTTTGAAAGAGCTATTTGCTCTGTTAATTATCCATCATTTGTCAAACTTTTGTGCAGTCTCAGGATCTTACATGTTTTGTCAGACTTGTCTTTAGCTTCCAAGTTGTGTGTGAAGACTTGCTTCCATTGTAAGGCACAACATACTAAAAATTGAGAGGCAAAAATGTAAAGAGCTTTTCCAGCTTTGATTTAATGTCTAGAACTTTGGAACCCACTACTTGCAGTTGTTATTCTGTCCAAACTGGTATAGTTTGGAATGCCCTCATACTTCTTGAATTGCTCTGCTGTAAAAGATGGAGCAATTCTTTCAGGTACAATTGCACCACTGTTGTTGGCTTCTAATTCTTGCTATATTTGTTTGTTTTCCACAGACTGCCTCTCAAGCCTCCTTTTTCTTTACAGTCAAAGTGAGAATTGCACTGTGAGGTATATGAACATTGTTATGCCTATAGATAAACAGAACAGCAGCAGAGCCTCACAGTTGACTGCTGACAGCTCTCGTAGTAGCCAGTAACACATAACTGTACCAAATCCTTGTGATGGGTTTGATTTCATTTCTGCCAGTGAAATCCTTGTAGATATAAGGTACTGCAGCAGGATGATGAGATAAGATGAAGATACTGGTTTTAGTAGTGCTTTAAGTTGAGTGGAAGAACAATTGAATTAGGGTTGTGTGCTTTCTCTGGGACCATAAGGTTTTTTTTCCTGAGGGAAAGAGCCAGCTTTTCATGGGCTATATGTGGCCTTTGGCAAGAGCAGACAATACAATCTATCAGTAAGCTGTTTTAGGTGCTTCGGGTCTGTAAACTTGTCCTTTTATTTTTTAGGCAGATATTTGGAGCATGGGTGTAATACTATATGCTGTTGTGTGGGTTTCTTCTTTTTGGTGATGACTGTGTGATGGCACTCCACGGGAGGATAACAGTAGGTATCAATGGTGCTAGAATACACTGAGAAGGGAAATAGCTGAGCATGACAAGAGGCCTTGCTTTTCTGATGGCAGAACATGCTGAGCTGTGCTGGTGTGGAAAGGCCTGTCTGCTGAATATTGTCCCATTTTTCTGCTGCTTTGTCTATCAGTATTTTGTGGATTTGGTTCTACACTTGGTTGGCCTATGTGGCACTGTAGTCTGGTTATATAATATGATAGCATATTAAATTTAAGGAGAAGTATTTACTTGCAATGGGCTAGATTTTTGCATCTGGTTCTTCAACTGGTTGCTCCCTATACTACCTGTATTAAAATATAAATATATCATTTGATTTACCAGAAATGAATGTTATTAAATTCCAGCTCTTCTCATGTCTAGGAAGAGCAAAGTTCTGCTCCAGAATCGGAAGGAATTGTAGGACCCCATTGATTGCCTTTGAATTCAGCAGTTGGATCTGTTTCCTTTCAGAGTGCATAACAACCTGAGCATGTTAATCAAATGGCATGGCTTTTTTAGTCTGGTATGAACTATGTTGTGCACTGAGACTTTGTCCATTTGTATTTAGGACTTTATCAATTTCTGCAGGACTGCAGAAAATCCTTTGTGCTGATCATTACTCCAAGATGCAGAATGTGGCCAATGGAAAATGATCCAACTGCTTCTGGTTTTCATTTCCTTGAAATTGTGAATAGTTTTGGACTGAGAGTTTGTAAGCAGAATGGAGCTCTTAAAGCTGTCAAAGATTGTTTCTGCATTGTTTAGTTCTATCTGTCTGATGCACACAGGAGACGAGAGCTGCATTGCTTGAACTGGAGGAACTTGTTTAAGTGAACTGGGATGAGCAAGTTTCAGAACTTAGAATACTGTAAAAAACGGACAATCTCACAGGTATTAAGATACTGGCTTGCTATTTCTGCACTGAATTTGTTTTAATTTTATGTGGCTGTGATCTGAAAAGTGCTTGAAATGCAGACACCTAGGCATTGTTGTGTAATTTAATTTCACACATTAGAGATCCTGAAATATCCTGGAATCTAAAACTCAGAATTGGTTTAAGTCTACTGCTTGAATCTAATCAGGATCATAGCATCTGTGTTCAGTATTCTTTTCCCTGTAATGCTCCACATCACTTCATTTTGGGAAGACTTAAGGAAATTGACTGTGTGCCATAACTGTTGTTAGAACAAAGTGTGTCTGGTGTGATCTTATGCATTTTGTAGCTCTTGTGAGCAATTTCCCTTCCAGCATTGCCCTCAGCCAAGTACATGTTAATTTTATCATTAAATTTATTCAAGCTATTCTTAGAACTGAGTTTGCATATGTCTGTTCCTACACTTTGAAAGAAAAGAGATGTCAATATCATCCAAATAATTTAACAGTTCCTTCTGAGCTAGTTGTTCAAGGTTCATTCTAAATCCTCTCTTATTTTAGTTAACGAAAATAACTTTTTTACTGCAGAGAGGAAAATACACTGTTCCAAAATGGCTTTCATCTAGCAGCATGCTGCTACTTAACCAACTGCTACAGGTAAAAGAGCTGCTTCTATTCAGATTGATCTACAAAATACTGTTGCATAAGCTCAAAATGGTGATGGAGTGCTTAGAAAATATTCAGTGTTTAAACAAGTTACATGGTTCCACGCCTTAAATCCTTGGAGAAAAGATTAGAATTGCCTTGTGCTGAAAATTCTCAAATAATAACACGGTACTAGTTACTGGTTATAGAAATAATTACAGTTTTAATAATTAAACAGTCTTCAAGCAGCTTGCATTTGGATGTTCTTAATTGTGCTGTAATTAAAAGTGATTTGTAAACAAAAGATGTTTCATAAAGGAAGCTGAACGTACTAAGTACGCCTTTGGGCTATATCTATGCAGTCTCAAGTACAAAATGCTCGTGGAACATTTACTCTAACCATTATTCTATAGCTGCTTTTCATAGCTCAGGTGTTTGACCTTCCTTTTGGTGAAGTGGATAAATACTGCTGGTTTCTATTTGTGCTTCTAGGCACCTTGAAGTTCTTAGGAAAAGAAGAATTGTCTCCCATTCTTCCCAGTGATATAAGTAACAGCTTGAATATTGCTGCCCAGTAGGCCCAAAGAAGTGGATTACACCTGTTAAATCATCCTTGCAAGGTTATTCTGATGCTGTTCAGTGGCAAAGTAAATACCCAGTAAGTACATATACCCAAAGAAGCCTAAGTATTTTCTAGAATCTTTTCTGGACCACTGGCATCCTCACAGAATGGGAGTGACAATACATTTCTTCAGAGACTGCTGACAAGTGGTGTCTCTCAGGGCTCCTTCTTGGGATCTTCAACATCTTTATCAGTGACAGAGAGAGTGGAACAAGAGTGCACCTTCTGAAAGTTTGCAGGCAGCCCCATGCTGAGAGGTGCAGAGGATAAAACAGGAGGTGCAAATGTCTCATCCCTGGTGATATTCAAGGCTGGGTTGAATGAGGCCCTGGACAGTTTGTTCTGGTAAGTTGCAACTTTGCAACTTGGAGCTTGATGATCTTTAAGATCCCTTCCAAATCATGCCATTCTATGATTCTCTGGAACTCCTTATTCTCTCAATTGTTTGACATGTGTGAGAGGTTGGGGTAGCAGGGTTGGGGTGGGGGTGGGAATTGGGATGTATAAGAGAGATTCTTGCTGTAGATACTGAGAAGTTGCTGTGTATTTGCAGCCAATGGCTGCTGCTGGCCACTGGGTGCCACTGTTTCTCTGAAGGATAGCTGTGCTGATCAGACATCACAGTGTGCTGTGCATGCCATGTAACTGAATAATTAAGAAGAGATAGAAGTGTAACTTCAGCTCTAGTGAAAATCTCATCTGCTGACAGGCTTTTGTACTTGAATTCAGAACCTGTTGCCACAGAGTGACCTGTTGCTGAAGTTTGGTGACTCTTTCTGTGTACTCCTTGCAGTATTTAGTCCTGATACTATTTAAAATAGAAAATCTGAAATGGTGGCTAACTATTGACTTGATTGCTGCATATTAGAGAACTATCATGGTGAAATTTGGCTCTGTCAGATGACTTGAAAGCTGTTTCTTCAGTATAGGTCTTGTCCTTGCAGCTGGGACACCTTGATGAAGACTGTGTAACAGAGCTTTCTGTGTTTCACAACCAGAGCAGAGAGAGTATATCAGCATTAGTATCAGAGGTAATAAATATATGTAATTCATTGTATTTAAGCTGACTACTACAGTAAATAACCTTACTGTATTAACAGACTCTCATGCTCACTTATTCTCAAACATGAAATATTTCATACCTTTTGGAGCTAAGGTACCCTGCAGAACTCCATAGTCTATCTGTAGCTAATAACTACATTTCTGAAGTTCACATTTATTCTATTTTTCTCCTTTGATTTTGTTTTCTAAGTCTTTCTGTTGTTTTCTACCATGCTAAAATCCTTATGAATCTCTGGAAGTCCAGATAAACTCAAAACCGAAACTTATGGATGAACAACAGATGTCATGTCCTGGCTTAACTCACTGCTTTGAAATGTTTCATTAATAAGTGGAAAATATCAACACATCACTCAGACAACCAAACAAGTTTTGGAAATTACAACTCACAAATTCTTAAAGAAATGAATCCATTCCAGTAACTTTTGAAAATAAATGAGAAAAGCTAAACTGGGTGCTTCTAGAGATATTGTATAAATGTTAATAATAACATTCCAAGCTGCAGAAGAGATTTAAAACATGATGCATACTCTGGCTTTAATCTGAATCTGAAAATTGTCTCTTGAAATTGAATTGTCTTTCTATTAAATGGAAAGTGGTAGAATTTGGAAGGATTGTTAAGATTTCCATATAACTTTGGTAGGAATAGATATAAAATGTAATTTTTACCTAGGAGAAATCATTTGTGGAGTCATTTCTACTGTTCTTCAGGTACAGGAAATAATGAGAACAACCTACCTAAAAGGGGGAGAAGTTCTTCCATATTAGTCTGTGATATTTTCACAGTGCTTTATCAAAGGACTTCTAATGCCTTATAAGTAATTCAAGCTAATTGTACTACACTGTGAGTCTATCAAGCATAGTACCCATGGTTCTCATAGTAGTCAAAAAGCTGCTGAAAATCAAGTTGTATGTTGATGCTCCTTGGAGCTGGGCTGAAACATGGCCTCCAAAAATGGGACTCCAACTAAATACTGTGCAAAATGCATTAATAGAAGCTTTGCCATTCACTTCAGTAGAGAGATTCTGGCACCAGCTTTAGTTTTCACTTTCAACAATTGTACAGCTCTCAAGCAAAAACAAGAGTAGTCTGCTTCTTTGTCTTAAACTTGTGTGAACACTTAAGGTCTGAAACTACCCTAATGTGATCAAACATGAAGGTTGCAGATCAAGGGGAAAATATTCCAGACATACAGAAATGTTTAGAACACTAAGCTTTCTTTGTACTGACAACTTTTCTGAAGAGATCTAAATACTCTTGTTTTCTAGTGGAATTATGACCACATGTCAGCAACCTATCTTTTGCTTCAATCCAAGAAGGTTTATGGCACTTAAGAATTTCATCACAAACAGGACATGCCAGTACAACACAGTCAGCAAGCCTGGGGGTAAGTTTTAGAGTTCAGCATACATTCTGGTAAAAATGCTTCTGTGTGCTAAAGCTCTGCCTGGGTAAACAGTCTGGTGGCCTAAACATCAGTAAGAGAGATGTGTGCAGTCTTGGTCTTCAAATCTTGTTCTGTGATAAGGCCACCCAATTAGTGTATGAAGGCAGAGGATGTAATCTTTCTAGATTTCAGCAAGGCCTTTGATCCTGTCCCTCGTGGCATCCTTCCTGACAAGTCATCCAAATGTAAGATGGACTGGTGGCTCAGTGGCAGAGCTCAAAGAGTCATAGTGAATGGGGCTACGTCCACTCGCTAGTGGTGTTCCCAACACTCCATTTTTGGGCCAATCCTGTTCAACATTTCAATCAGTGACTTGGATGCAGGAGAGGCATGCATCCTCTGCAGGTTTTTTTAAAATATCTGATTATATTTAACTGGGAAGTGCTGGAGGCTCCCTGGAGGGATGAGAGGCCTTGCAGAAGAATCTAGATAGATCAGAGCATTAGGCAATCAGTAGTGGCATGGAGTTCAGCAGAGGAAAATGCCAGACACTGTATCAGCAATGGAATAAGGATAGACAAAGATACAGAGTAGGAGACAAGTGCTTGGAGAGCAATACTTCAGGACAGAGTCTAGAGGTGCTGATGACAGCAAGTGTAACATGAGCTAGTGGTGTGCCCTGGCAGCCAGGAGGAGGGGAACAAAGCTGCTAACAGGACCGGAAGGTGTGTGCTCTGAGGAGAGGCTGAGGGTGCTTGCATTGCCTGGTCCAGAAAAGAAAAGGCCAGGAGATGACCTCTTTGCTCTCTGCAACTCTGTGAAGAGTGAAGTGCATGGGAAGGTGCTATGTTTACCTGGGAACCAATGACAGGAGGAGCAGGAATGGCACAGGGTTGCACCAGGAGAGGTTCAGACCAGACAATAGGAAACATTTCTTTACTGTTAGTGTGGCCAGCTGCTGATACAGGTTTCTTAGGGTGGTGGTTGGTTCCCCACCAAAAAAAATAAAAGCCATACAGAGTTGAAGTTACACAAACAACTCGAGGTGATTGCCCTTGAAGAAGGACCTTGCGCAAAGAAATGCCCTTTTGCTGCATGTTCCCAACCTGTTGCTCAGCCATGTAGACCAATAGTACTATTGAGGTTGGAGATCTTTCTGCTCTGGATTGGTTCTTTTCACTGTCTCTTAGTGGGTTGTTTTCTCCAATCTTCAGGACTGTAAGATCTGCCAATGCTTGCAGAGTCTCCATTTAGTCTTTCTTACTTCCTTATCTTGCAGTTAGAGTAAACTCTGTGGCCTTCCCTACTTGCAGCTGGGTGAAAGTCCAGCAGTCTGTGTCCTTAGGCTTCAGCAAATTTAACTGCATCTTTTGTGCAAGTTTTGTGCAAGGTTATTCTATTCAAGTAGCACAACAAATTAGAGAACAAGAATAGCCTTATGAATATAGAATCATAAAATACAATCATAGAATGGTATGGATTGGGAGAGACCTTTAAGATTATCTAGTTCCAAACCCAAGCTATAGGCATGGATACCCCTCTCTAGACCAAGTTGCTCAAAAGTCCTATCCAGCCTGGCTTTGAATGCTTGCAGGGAGGAGGCATTCACAACCTTGCTGGACAACCTGTTCCAGCGTCTCACCACCCCCACAGTAAAAAATTTCTTCCTAATATGTAGTCTAAATCTACCCTTTTCCAGTTTAAAGCCATTTCCCCTTGTCCTGTCACTACGTACCCTTATAAAAAGTCCCTCCCCATCTTTCCTGTAGGGACCTTCAGGTACTGGAAGGCCACTACAAGGTCTCCTTGGAGCCTTCTCCATGCTGATGAGCTCCAACTCTCTAAGCCTTTCCACACAGGGGAGGTGTTTCAACCCTCTGATCATCTTTGTGGGCCTCCTCTGGACCTGCTTGAACAACTCCATGTCCTTGTGTTGAGGGCTCCAGAACTGGACACAGTACTTCAGATGGTGTGTCAATGAGAGCAGAGTAGATCTTCTATGCTTTAAGGCTTATGCTTTAAGTTCTTATATGCTTTAAGGTTTAGTTAGACCTGAAGAGGTGAGGCAACTGCACTATCTGTGAAGATCCCTTCAAACTGAACTGTTGTATTCCAGACAATTCAGACCGCTCATTGAAATGTTTTAGCAGTCTGTGCTGGTCCTACGAAGTAGCGTGACTGGAATAAGCAGTGTACATGGTGCACTGTGAGTACCACACACATTCCTCTTGGCTTGTGGAACTAAAACTGTGCATTGTTTGGACTGTGTAAACATTCCCGATCGTCTCTTGTAATGCTTACCTTCTTAGAGCACCTTTCCATGTTTGGCTCTAAATATTTTGGTACCTTACTTGTTTTATTTGGCTTAGTAAGGAAGGCCTTATGAAGCATCCTCCGTCTTCATTTGGGCAGCACGCTTTGAAATTACATGGACCTTACATGACTGTAAGGTGTCAAAGGGGGGAAAAGCTCATCTTCCTAATCTGTTTCCTTTTAGAACACAATCCTGAAGAGGATTTGGTTTACTTTTTTTCTGGAGACTTGGATTCTTAAATGGTTTTTGCTGTAGCTATTTCTGATGTGCATTCCTTTTCCTGTACTTCAGTAGCAAAGTGCAAGTGGAGTGCTTTGGAAATCGTCTGAGGTTGCCAGGTTGCTTGTGATCACATATATAATGTGAAATTATCTGTGGTGCTGGTGATAATTATGTTTGATGAACTTGAAAGCTTTCAGTAGTATTACAGCCATAATACAAATCATTATTTGAACTCTAGAATTCTGTGTAAAATTGCTAGCTAGCTAGCTAGCTGAACATGCTATTTTGTGTAAAGACAAGCTCTCCAAATAAATGCATTATTATGCATCTGATTCACTTGCATGTAAAACATTTCAGTTCATACAGCTGCCGTGTAATACTGATGAGTTCTAAGATTACTAGTTCTACATAACAGATCAGGTATCATAAGAATTGCTGAATAGGTATAATGTGATTTCTGTGATCACAGTGAGTTAGTCTTTCACACCCAGATAATTAGTTTTTCTGGGTTTGGCAACAGTGAAGTTACTCTATCTCTACTTGTGAAATGGGTGCCAGGTAAATTAGGGCTGGTTAGTACTGCTATTTAAAAAATGCATTATGCCCTCACATACAATTGTGAAAATCATGCCCACATAGCACAGCAGCCTATTAGTCCTTCTACAGTAGTCAGAACAAACTTTACCTTCCTGTCTGTAGATAACACATGTGAATACATGCTCAACCTGCCAAAATACCCAAACAGCAATGCCTCTAATTAGAGCTGGTCTCATGTGAAGACAAGAAAGCAAGAGAACGGAACCTTTCACATAACTTGGCATTGTTCAGCCTGGAGGAGAGATGGCTTAGGGAGATCTTATTATTGTGAGTGAATACCTGGACTGAGGATGCAAACAAGGTGCAGCCAGGCTCTTTTCATGGATGCCCAGTGGCAGGATATGAAGAAACTGACTGCAAGAGATTCTGTTTAAACATCAGGAAAAAATTCTTGGGTGACTGAGCACTGTCAAACATCGGCCAGAAGTGTTGTGGAGTTTCCCTCCTTGGAGATTTTCAAAAGCTGACAAATAGTTTGGGGCAACCCACTCTAGGTGACCCTGGTTGAACAAGAGTGTAGAACTAGATGACCTCCAAAGGTCCCTGCCAACCCAGTCTGTGATTCTGTGAATTTGATGGCACAAGAATAATTCTGCTCTTGATATGAATGTCAAATCCACAAATACGATATCAAGAACATAATATAAAATTTTGGGCTACTGGCATGTGGACTTCCATTAGCTGTCAGCCATGGTTAGGAACTTACAAAGCAATCATATTTAGATTTTACTGATATTGTTTTTTTCTGATGAAACTTCCTTTTAATCCTGCAGAATAATCTCAACTGAACATTTCTTTTCAGTCTGAAAAGGTTCTGACACCTGAAGATGTGCCAGATGCATTTGGATCCATGGAATTTTCTGATGCAGCTTCATTGTTTGAAGAGTCTCCACTAGAAGAGTTTATTCTAAATACTCTCAGAACAAAGCAGGTGTCTGAAGATCTAGTGCTAGTTTCTCACAGAAAAAAATACAATTCTTAATCCAGAAATCTACTTCTCATTGTATATAATGCTTATTACATATTTAATAAGTGGACCTTGACCAAAGAGAGATACAGATTGAGCAAAGAAATATGTTGAGCATAAGTTTTGATGCCTTCTACCTGAAGGCCATGGTTCGTTTGATGAGAACCTTAACTTCAGTGTTTGGTTTGCACAGAAACAGCAAGTAAGGAAACGAGTAAAGGAGTCAGTGAGAATTTTAAAACAAAATGGAAAGTGATAAGGCACAGTTAATAAGATTTTGGAGTTAGGCAAGAGGTAAACAGAGCTTTAAAGGTACCAATAGAAATTCAGTCTCTCTGTATCGGACAAGAAAATCCACAGTGAAGCAATTCAAATTTTGCAGCTAAACCAAGTGATAATTCATAGCTATGTTTAGATAAGCTGGTGAGGAGTAATCCTAAATGTAGAATTTAGATGAACAAATAAAAAAATGGCACTTGATAATCTATAAGAAGCAAACTCATTCTAGGAGGGAATCAGAGGTACTGAAGAGTGTTTAACTATTTTGCTCAATAGACAAGTAGTGTATGATATTTTTATAAGCATTGTGTCTGACCTGGTTAGATGTTAGAATTTTTTTGACAGTAACTTCTCTGGATGTGATTGGAATACCTGGCAGCATTCAAGGCATGATACTCAGCTGGGTGATACGGAATTCACACTGTCAACTCCAGTGACAAGAAAAGTGGCATCTAAGAAGCATGCAAACAAAGAGAATGTTGATGCATAGTCAGCATTAAGAAATGAGCTGCCCTTTGCACTTCCTGCTCCAAAGGCCTCCTTTTCAAAGAGTGAGACAGAAAAGCAAGTACAAGGCATACCCCTTCAGACACCTACTTCCAAATGTATGTTGTATCTAACAAATGAAAACCTAGAACATGTGTAGCTTAGGCATTTTTAAAATTGAAATATGAACACAATACTTGTAGATCCTAAACTTCTGTTTCTGGAAGATTTAGGTTTGGGGTTTTTTTGGTCACAGCACATATATTCACCAGCCTATTCATTCACCAGCCTATACATCTGACAGTGCACTGCAAGTGGTTTAACCATATGTCAGGGCATGTTACTTGTCCATTAATTATAGAAGATCTCACAGTTTCACAAGGAGCATGCCTTTAGATGCATGCAGATATGAGACAAGTGCTGTGTTCCTAAAACTACCACATAGTTCCACTTTCCATGGAGATCTAGTAGAAAATTTCTTCAATGTTCATTATATATTTTTGTTTTTTTCTAGGCTGTTATTTTGAGTTAAAGAAAAGGGTATGCTTTTACTTAAGTGTACTCTTACTGCATCTTGCTTCTAGATGAAATGTAATCTACTGGATTCCTCATGATAGCATACCTGTACTTTCATATATCTATTCGGTCTGGCATTGAAAATACTTAGGCTAGCAATGTAAACACCTGCATTTATGTGATGGACCACAGAAATGTGTCCATGCTATATCAGCTTCTCTGAGTTACAAAAGTGTTTGTCCTCAGCCGTAGTGTTGGCACTGTACATGTTAACTCTGCCCTTTGAAATTGCATTTCTTACAACTGAAGATTCTTCTGTTCCAAATGCTAGGGAATATTGTTCAGAAATGCTCAATCTTTGCAGGCTAATATGTTATTAAGGGTTACTGAACATATCACTTTCCTTTGTTAAGTGTTCAACGAAGTGCATTACGAAGGCTAGTTGTTCACAATGGTTTCATTTGTTTCATTTTTGTCTTAAGTCTGCATGTGGTAACTTGTGATGTTGGTCTTATGGTAAGTTTAAAATGTAAAAGTAGGTATTTCCTAAATGAGAAGTGCAGAAGTATGATTTCAGCTCATTTTTGTTAGATATTCCTGAGAGTTAAACAATTAAAATATTTTTGTTGTTCTATTGGAAGTTCTTACATTCAGGATAGGTTAAAGCAGTACTTAGAGATATAATAATAAATGGTGGAAGTATCTCTTGGAAGTGTTGAGAACATCATTGTCTGGGGCCAACTGCTGCTATGTAAAGCTGAATCTTCGAGCTTTATATTGAGTTGCCTTCACATAACTCTTTTCCAACATGTGGATAATAGAACTTCTTAGGCTGTTACCTAATATGTAGTATTAACTGTGATAATGTAATTCACACCTTTCACATAAAGGAGAATGCTTGATGTGGAATGCAATTTTGATGTGGAATGCAATTTTCTGACATAGTGTATTCCTCAGTGGTTGTCTTGAGACCAGTGGAAGAGCAAGAAAGCAGTTCTGATCCTCATGCCTTCCAAACATGTAGTACTGAACTGCACCGGTCCCTCAAAGACATGAATCACAGAGCTCTAGGAGAATCAGTTAGTTTTCTTTTGTAGTCTTGTTGTTGTTAAAACCTATTTTATCACTCTGAAGATGCAGACTAGAGATAGATAGGAGGCTGGCTTTAAAAAAATAATTGCTAATCGTGAGAAATCCTGACTGAAGAAAAATAAATCCTCTACTGCAAAAACATACCTGCTTTGGCTTGGATACTTTCTTTCATAGAGCCAGTTCACAACAATCACTACATTTAAGAAGCCCAAAAGACCAACAAATTCGTATGAACTGACAGCAACTGAGGTTCTTCCTGAGAGGAGGTAAATGTCCAATTATCTATATATGTTTTTGGTTATGAGCAGTGCTACCTTAATCAGTGAACAGCCTAGGAAGCATTGTTCACAACAGCAAGCTACATTTCCTTTCTCTTGGTTAAAAGTTTCCTAGAACCTCTTTCTATATTCACTGGGAAACACTGAAAGCAGGGAATAATAATAACAATAATAAAGCTAGAAGTCACTCATCTTCAGAATGCATTCCTATTTGCCATAACATAAATCCCATCTTGTTCCATTTTCCCAGAGTGCTGCAGTTTTAAAATGCATCTCTGAACTTAAAGCTCAACTAGCTTGTAAGCAGAAATTCTCATAATACACAACACTTCCTTTCGTTTTCTTCATTCTGATTTGATGATATTCTAATAGTGCATCTGAAATAACTACTGTCTGATTGCTGAGGAAGAGCAACTAATTAATTTGGTTTTGTAACAGGTGTCATTCTGTGGATGTAGGTCTCAACCTAGCTCATGTGGATAGCAGCCAAAAGAAGAGAAAGGCCAAACTACCTGGAAGTCTTGAAAGAGGCCTAGATAAAGTGATTACAATGCTTACACCAGGCAAAAAAAAAGCAATTCAGTAGATGTGTGCCAAGAAAACTTAAGGTATGTTTGCTAGAGAAATATTTTATGGGAGTGATAGCTCTTGAACACATTTAATACTATTAGGAATGGCCTTGTGAAAAACTCTGTGATCTGAGTTGCCTGCACTCTATAGAAAATTGCACTTGCTCATTCTGTTTTTCTATTAATATAGTAGTCCTGTTATTGCCCAGGGATTTAGTGCTGGCTTCAGCTCAGATGACTCACCAGCACATCATGGGAGAGGGCTGACCATTGCTTTTTGTATGCCATCTCATATTTAATCATGTTATTTCTGTAGGCATACTGCTAGCTTTTCCTCTGGTTTGAGGAAGTTTTGATAACATTCCTTGTTAGCTGTTTTCCATAGTTCAGGAGTGATACACTTGGAAAGGAGTTCTGGCATCTTGTCTGGAATTCAACAGAATCCAAGATTAAAGATTCAAAGATTAATAAATTCAGCTGGTGAAAGAATTTCTGATGCTGTCAGTGTGACTTTTGATTTTCAAAGTTTTGATGTCTCTGCACCCAGGCCATTTTTTTTTTTACTTCCACTTCTTTAAATAGCCTTAGAAAAAGTAATTACTTAGTGCATTGCGTAGAACACTTTTACATGAAATTAAGAACTTACACTTAGCAAAGTCAATTCAAAACATCGTTTTTAGATTTTTAGAATCTTCATACATTGACTTTTCCATGTAGTGAACAGAATCATATAAATCACTTGAGAGGAATTTATATTTGAATTGGTAGATGACATGTTCAAAAAATATACTATTCATGTGAAAACAAGGCTGTTATGAAGGCATAAACAGTTCCATAAAAGAAATTGATGCATCTCTTCAGATAGCTGTCTTCTGGAGCTGTAACTATTAGGGACATCTCCAGTACAATCACAGAATCAAGGAGTCTGGAAGGGAGACCTCTGAAGATCATCTAGTCCAGCCTATGGTAAAACAAGTTCTCTACATTAAATAGTGCTGGAAAACATCCAGGGGAGTTTTGAATATCTGCAGAGAAGGAGACTTCACAGACTTTTTGGGTAGCTTGCTCCAGAGCTCTGACACCCTCAAAGTAAAGCTTGTATGGAACTTCCTGTGTTCCAGTTTGTACCCACTGCCTCTTGTCCTGATGCTGATCACCACTGAAATCACCCTACTAACCACAGCCCTTCTATTACACCCCAGGATGCCTTTTGCCTTCTTGTCCACAAGGGCACAGTGCTGACTCATGGTCATCCTGCTGTCCACCAGGACCCCAAGTCCCTTTCCCCTGATTTCCTCTCCAACAGGTCAGTCCCAACCTACACTGGTCCAGATGCAGGACTCTACGCTTGCCCATGTTATGTCTCATTAAATTCCTCCCTGCCCAACTCTCCAGCCTGTCTAGATCTAGCTTCCAGGAGGATGTGCTGCATGATTTTTCCTGGCACAGAGGTGAGACTGACAGGTCGATAGTTCTCTGGGTCATCTTTTTTACCCCTTTTTAAATATGGGTATGATGTTACCTTTTTTCCAGTCTCCAGGGACTTTACCTGATGGCCCCAACTTTTCAAATATCATCAAGAGTGGCTTGGAGACTACATCAGCTAATTCCATTAGGACTCTGGGATGAGTCTCATTGGGATCCGTAGACTTGTGGATATATATAGAATAAATAGGGTGGATAAAATAAATGTGGATGTATAAAATAAAATGGTACCAAATCGATCAAACATGATTTCCCCTTTGGTGAGCCCACACTGACTACTCCTGATAACCCTCTTTTCTTTCACTTGCTTGGAAATGACATCTAGAATAAACTACTCCATCATCTTCCCAGTGACAGAGGTGAGGCTTCCTGGCCCATAGTTTCTTGGCTTCTTCTTGCCCTTTTTGAAGAGTGAACTGACACTGACTACTCTCCAGTCCTCAGGCACCTATCCTGTTCTCTGTGAGCTTTTAAAAATGAAAGAGTTGTTCAGCAGTCTGTTCTTCCAGCTCCCTCACTGCTTGTGGGTACATCCCATCAAGGGCCATGGATTTGTGTGCACTGAGTTTGCCTAGCCTACCTCTAATCAGATCCTTCTTGACCATCAGGAAGTCTTCCTTTCTCCAGACTCATTCTCTTACCATCAGAGTCTGGGATTCTGCAGGGCAATCTTATCAGTAAAGACTAAAGCAAAAGCAGCATTCAATAACTCCACCTTCTCAGTGTCCTTCGTTGCCAGGACACCCTCTGCACTCAGTAGTGGGACCTCATTTTCCCTCATCTTCCTTTTGCTATTGATTTACTTAAAGATGCCTTTCTTGTTGTCCTTAACCTTCCTCACCAGATTTAATTCCAAGAGTGTCCTAGCCTTCCCTATTGTAACCCTGCATGCCCTAACAAGAGTCCTTTCTATATTTCTACCAAGAGGACAGACCCGTTTTCACATTTCATAGACTTTCCTTTTTCCATTTGAGATTTCCCATGAGCTCCTTGCTCATCCTTCTAGGTTTCCTGCCACCTGCGTTTGATTTCTTACCCAATAAGGATTCTCCAATTGAGCTTGGAGGAAGTGGTGCTTGAATGTCTACCAGCTCTATTGAACCCCCTTACGTTCCAGTGCTCTAATTCACTGGATATTAGGCACTTGAAGTGGTCAAAGTTGGATCTCCTGAAGTCTAGGACTGCTGTCCTCAGTACTGCTGTTTCTTCCATGCAAGATCCTGAACTCAGCTGTCTCATGGTTGATGCATGCAAGGCTGTCTGTAATAAGAGGATTACTTTGTATTTTGCAGTTTGGTTAAATGCAGTTTAGCTTCTGTATTCTTATCTGGAAGCTTATCCAATCGGCGCTTTGTAAAATATAAGATGGCATTGTTACAAGTTCAAGACATTTGGGACTACAAAGCTACGGAGCTAATTTGACAAGCGTCCAGACTACACCAATAATTCAGGATGCTGAGTAATCAGAAACAAACATAAGTGAGGTTTTTTGCCTCTAGACACTTTTATCATTCTGCATCAGTTTCCCTTGCCCATAGCATTATGCAAGGTCACTGATGCACTTCTGTGGGCACTAGGTTACAACAGTGGAAGATAAAACTTTATGTAATTTTTCCTGCAGATGTTACAGAAAGGAGTCCTGCGTGTTCTAGGTTGAAAAGGAAATTGAAGAACTTTCTTTTTCTTTTTTTTCTCCCTCTGCCTTTTACATCCACAACCTATGTTCTTTTCTCAAGCTGTTTTATCTTCCTGTCTTCTCTGATCTGTCTTTATGACAGTTTACAGTATTTGTGCATTCATGACATGACAATTGGTGTACTCTGTCTCTTCCTACATGTGGATGTCTGAAAGTTGCAGAAGTTACTTAGTGGACAAATCTGCTGTATGTAGTATTAGACATGATATAAACAAACAAAACTGCAACCATAAACTTAAGGTTGGAAAGTACTTTGTTTTGTTGGTTTTTTTTTTTTTTTTTTTGCACTATCATACTTCAGGGCTTGAAAAGCCTCATTGAACCTTGTGTGTTCCTTGACATGTGAAGCACTCAGTCCCAGCAAAGCAACACAGTATAGGCAATAGGGGTAGTGTCATAGGATACTCAAAACATGGGTTCATGGCTGTCTTCTGTCATCCTGTCAAGCAAGCACTTCTGGCTACATACCTGTTTCTATGCTTCCCTGGCCCATCACTGCTACTTTGGGTTTTATGCTGATTTAGAACTTGTAATGCTTTGATATTAATTGTCAAGAAGTTGTTGGTTAGTGTTCCTGCTATTACTCCAGTGTTTTAACGATGATCATCCTGGGGATGCTGGGGAGCTGAAGCATTTGTCTATATGCTTAGATGTTCTTCAGCTTTCAGGATGGAAAGTTTCCGTAGTATCTTAAGTTTTAGGAAAAAGTTATATTCTGATTCTTTTTATTTTTTTTTTAATGAGCTGACTGTTTTTAGGCACACTATAATGTTACCATGACTCAACTACTGAATCCAGACCAAGTGCTGAATGAAATAATCTCTGTTCTTTCAAAGAAGCAAGTGGAATACATTAAGAAGGGGTAAGTGGAAAAAGAATGGCTTCACCTTGTACGTGCCTAAATAGTCAGTTCCATAGCCCTTAAGGCAAATATTTTAATTTGCTTTCTCTGCCTGACTCTGTAAAATACAATAATTTTAGAAAACGCATAGGGAACAGTAAATGAATATGTGCATTAAAAATTGTCCACACGATGCAAACAGTATTAAATGAGTTAAATGAACTCCCATAGAGCTCTCTGACAAATATGAAGCAGTAATGATGATGTAACACTTAGAGGCCGATGTGAGTGTTGTCTGCCCCTGTAAAACTGTAAGTACAAAAGGTGAGCTATAATACAGTCACAGACAACTGGGAGAGACTGTGTGTAACTGTAACACTCATTCTTGGTAGTTAAAACACACAAATATCTGGCCAAGAGATCACAGAATTATAGAATCCTCAGAGTTGGAAGGGACCTCTGAAGGTACTTCAATGAAGTGTTTTTATTCATTCAAAACTGTTCAACGCTAGCTTTGAAACATGATTAAGTGATAATTCTGCTTCTCCTTTGTTTTGTACAGCTACACCTTGAAATGCCAAACAAAGCCAGATTTTGGCAAAGAATCTATGAATTTTGAGTTAGAAGTGTGTCAGGTCAGTAAGAATGAAGCAGTTGGTATCAGGAGACAGAGGCTGAGAGGAGATGCTTGGGTCTACAAGAGGCTGGTGGAAGACATTTTATCCAGCTGCCAAGTGTGACTGCTGCTCAGAAAGCCACAATGTTGTACTGAGACTTTAATCATCATTTTAGAAAAATCAGTTTGGGAATGTAATTTGTAATCTCCTTCACAGCTGTATTTGAGAAATCTTGTCAGCTCTTACAGTTTTAACCACTCCCTTTGTGTATATGCCCACTGCATCTTTCCTTTTCTTACGAAAACTGTCAACTTTTGCTATACGTTCTGCAGTTGTAACTCGACTGGAATAAAATTCCTTAAACTACCCCCTAGCTCCACTGCCCCATTTTTCATATCTGCTATAAAAAGAAAGTTATTGGTGTTGATATGCTGAGGCTCATTTATGGTACGATTTCAGTTATCAAGTAGATGTGGTACAGAAATGCATTTGCATAATTCTCTTCTTGTCTCTGTTTAAGTAGGATTTATTGAGATCATTAACTAAGTCACAGCTGTGGATCACAGAGTTGAAATATGTGCTCAGTGCCATACCAAATAGAGCCATCTTCAATAAATGGGAAGTCGAGAGGGCCAGGACTTAAACTGTGATCCTATGTAAAACATTGCTACAGCTCATTACTAAGCCTCTGTGATGCTTAAAAAGTGAGTGTTCTTTCTGATGCTCCTGTGTTCCCTGGTCATTATGTTAAGAGTAATTTAGCACCTTTAAGTTGCTGTGAATGAAGGAAACATTTCTGTTAGGTTTTGCAAGCAGCTGAGAAGGGATGGTGTGAGGTGTGCACAGAGAACCAAGAGTGTGGCAGCCTCCTGCAGCTGCTCCTGCCCCACCCCTCCTGCCAGGCTACCCAAGGTCTCTGCCCAAGATGGGGATACAACCCCTACTCGCCCTTTGCAACAAAGCTGAGCACATAACCCAGAGAAGCGCAGACCCCTTAGGCCAGACAATCCTGCTGGAACAAACATTTCTACGCTCTCAGATGGCCCTGCTGATCAGTGGGTCTGACCAGGACTGGTTTCCATCACTTACTCACTAACTTATTGTCCTTAATGGTCAGGTACACTTGGAGAGACTCTCCCACAGACTCTTCAAATGCTGGTAGCTTTGCTGAGTGTAAAAGGCAAGGACTGATTCTAGGTTAATACAAGTAACTTCTGAGATCTGCAGAACTGGGAAGGAAACACAGGAGTTGATAGAGGTGTTAGGATATCCATTATAAAACAGTACATCTCCAAGCTTGATTTTTTCTGTTGTGCAGTTATACCTTTAGCCTGCATCGGGAATGCATGAGAACGTGACCAACAACCACACTGATATCCAACGAAGCAGCAGTGTCAGAGGGTAGTTCTGTTGGAGCTTTTCTGCATACAAATGCCCACTAACACCTAGAAAGGGGCTGTGGCTCACAGCATTGTGCTGCAGGTTTTCCTTTACGAAAGGAACTGTGGTCTGTGCTGTATGTAAGCCATATTATTGGCTCTTTCCTGGATGAGACTTTCTCATCCAGAAGCTACTTACAGGGGCTACAATGATCCCAAGCCCTTAATGCATGAACCAGAAGGATATATTCATCAGAATGGCTGACCAAGGTAGAAGTCTCCATCACTTTTTTCTAACTTTAAGTTACCACTTTGACGCTCTTCAGGTAGGGAAAGAATTGGGAATGTTTTCAGTGAATTTCAAGGGAAGGTTAAAAATGTTACTAAATGTTTTGTGTACCTGGTCAAGAACTTTTCAGATGCAAAATGTCACAAATGAGGAACACTTCACAGGAACATATGATGACAAACAAATCTGACCAACAAATGCAAGGAAAGACTGCAATGTGAGCCCAGCCTGGTCGATCACTTTAACTGACAGATGTGCATGGAATGTGTGCCAATGGTTCAGGCTTGGTTCAGCCTGGTTCCATGACTGATGGGGTGGGGGGACCCACAGACCCATGCCCTGAGATGGGCCTAAAAACAACACAGCAGCAATGAAGTTTAAGTCCCTTAAACTTTAATGCAAACAGTGATTACCACAAAGTGAGATTTTACAGGTGGTGTATGACCAGCACAAGAGTTAAGCTTGATAATAATTGATTAAATTTAAAAAAAAAAAAAAAAGGATAATAAATTGAGTGTGATAATTGTTGACAAAAGTATACATAACATACAGTTCCAACAAATTAAAGTTTCATATCAGCACTTAAATAACTTCTGTGCACGACCCCTCCAGCTGCAATATTAGACCTCTGTTTGGTTTTTAGCTGTTGAAATTTAAGCCTGATAAATATCAGAAATCAGCTAAAGATGCCAGCACTGCAGCTGAGGCTGTAACTGGCCCATACCTGGGCTGCTGTACAAGCTCTGATTTCTGCTTGCTTGCCTTGCTTTCTTGCAAGAACACAAACCTCTCCCAAGAGTTCAGCTTCTCCCTGAGACTTGACCTGCATTGCCCTAAGCCTAGAAAATGGGAGAGCTGGTTGAGTGTGGCATATTGATAACAGCCTCGTTAATGTCTAGCAGAGCAGTAACATGTATCTTAGATCACTAATCCCAAGTGGTTGAATAGTTGAAATTGTTGCTTGTTTCAACATTCCTTGAGTTTTAATTTAAGAATTTAGTACAAAAGTAACCTTACATTTTTAGTGTATTTTGGTTTTTGGCTAATACTGCTTGCTGTGAATGAATGACAGATGGTGGTGAATTCCAGCAGAATGGGTGAGAAGCAAGATTCACTTGTGGGCTGTTTTGAAACTCAACTACATCCATGCTGATAGATTACTTTGTTGTTATTGTTGTTTCTATACTGAGAATTTTGGAATTCTATTATTTCAGCTCATCACTCCAAGTTTACTTTATGGTCACTGTACATCAATGCATTTCTTGGTACTGCTGCAAGGCTTAAATCCTAGCTCTCCACATTACCATTTCCCTGAGCATATAACTAAACTTGGCTTATATTTTTTCCATTCAGAGCTTGACGTAAAGGCATTTCTTAAATGCACTGCTTAAAAATTCTAACATATAAAATATTATTTTTCATAGAGAATGGCATTCTATTTTTTTTTTTTCCTCCCCTCCTCTTTCTTCATAACTTGTTTTGTTAGATGATTTTGCAGAACAGGCAGGAGAACAGCAAGGAGTCCTAAGTGCAACAGGAAACTAACACAGAGAAATTGTGAGTAGCCTCTGCTAGGATTGGGACAGATATGCATAATTGGAGTTGACAAAAAGAATTAAATTTTGAGGAGAAAGGAAAATCAAAAGATGTTAACATATTGAAGCTAGACTAGTGCTTGAGTCCACAGAGTGAGAGCTGGTAAAAGCACAACTCAAAAAAAAAAAGCAGCACAGACCTGTTTATCATACTTGTTCAGGGTTGAGACTAATAGATCAACTTGTTTCTACTTTGTTTTATGTAAAGAATGTATTAACTAAGAAAATTACTATTCTGACATGTATAATTTATGAAAATACTGAAGAGTTGGAAATGTAAGTAGGAATGCCATATTGAAAGCTTCTCAAATACCTAAATGCTGCTGAGTTTTCTTGGGAGGGTCCAGCTTATTTGCCAGTAATGCCCAGTTCCTAAAGATTTAGCCTCTGGGTAAAAGCTCTCTGCTTGAGAGCTTTAGTAATACAGTGGCTTCCAAGAAGCTTTGCTTGCTACTTTCTTGTCCCCAGTGCCCATTTAATGCTTGGGAAATATTTTCTATTACCTCAGAACAGATTGCATTCATTCATAGATTCATTTTGTCACCAGTGCCACATGGTGTGTCACACCTTTGTCCAGCTGTGACTATGTGAGACTGCACAGTGCTCATTCACAGCTCACACTGACCTGCTAAAACTGACTCTTGATATTTCAAGAAAAGATCCCTCACTACTCAGTCTCCTACAGATTTCATGATTTTTATGGATTCTCCATGTTTTGAGCACAGGGTCAGGAGAAAGATCCTTCTCTTTTGGAACTGTTTTGCCCTGTGTTCTTTGGGTATCATTCAACTTCTTCTGGGTTTCCCCACTATTTGCAGTGTTAGTGCCAGGTCATGCATCTGCAGCATCCTATAGCTTTGGCACTATTGCATTTTCATCCAGAGACTGTGTTTCTTAGTGTTCTGTGAAAGCCAAGAGCACTTTAAAACGTCTTTAACAGAGCTTTCATAAAACAACAGGAATCTGCCCTTGTAAGAAGCAAAGGAGACTGGCAGCACCTGGGGTTATGTTAGGAGGAGCAGGTCAGTGCTGGAGAACCTTCCCCTCGGTACTGTTGAAGATGTCCTGCAGAACCACATCCAGTTCTGGGCTCCCCAGCACAAGAGAAGCGGGGAGCTTCCATGGAAAATGCAACCAATTAAACAAAGGTGGGGAGGCATCTCGACTCTCAAGCATTTCCTTCTATGAGGAAAGACTCTGGGAGAGCTGGAACTGTCCAGCTTGCAGAAGAGAAGGCTGATGGGGCATCTCATCAATGCATATAAATACCTAAAGGGAGGCTGAGAAGAAAACAAGGACTTCTTAGTGGTGCCATTGGTGGGACATGAGGCAACAGCTGCTTAGCTTGCTGAGAGAGGTTGTGGAGTTTCCATCTCTGGAGATATCCAAAACCCAATTGGTCATGGCCCTGACCAACCTCCTCAAGGTGATCTTTGCTTGAGAAGGGGAGTGCACTGAGCAATCTCCGGATTCTTTGTGTGAATATGAGTACAGTGGAAGATGATGGAAGCAGTCATAACCTATTACCTTGTTCTTTATTAAGTCTGACTTAGATTTCCAGGATAGTAGCATTTCATTCCAGTATCTTGAGTACCTTTTGAATCCCAAAAGCCGTACAGATCCACATTAAGTCTTGACTCAAAACAGTGCATTAATATGACGGGTTTTTTTCTTTGAATATGTATGTTTAAGTGGATTTAAAAAAACTTATTCACTAAATTCTGAAAGCATGTTTTGTGTAGCTAAAAACTTGGACTAATCCAATTTTCCATAAGCAGGCATGTTGAACAGAACACGTATTTTCTAGGAGAAGATGAAAACTGTACAGTTAGATAATGTGACTACAGCTTTTGTACAACAATCAGTATCATTTACACAGTTTCTCAAATTAAAACAATTATCAGGCAGACATGCTTATTTTTGTCAGCCACCTCGAATAAAATCATGTAGACTCAGATAACCAGTGAGCAGTTGCCTGTTCAAAGGAGGACTGTGCTTTGTTAGAAAAAACACAATATTCCACAGATGTTTTTGTTTACATCATCTTATGCTTTTGGCAGAGAATTTACTCAGCTTCTAGTATCAGGTTATTTATCACTGCTCACTAGCTTTGCTGCATTCCCTAGGGAAAGCTCCTTTAAAAGTCCTAATGTGACACCATATATTTTTACTAGAC